CCCATGGGTGGAAACTCCCCGGGGGCGTTGGGGAGCCGGGTGCCTGCCATGCCTATGCCAGCAGCGCTCCCCTCACTGGCACCAGCAGTGCAATCCTTTGCCAGATACAACCAGAGGCAGCACTGCAGTGTACAAGGAGCATCTCCCAATCATCATCCCAATCCCAGGAGGACCCAGGATGCTGCGTCGACAGCCGACACGAAGCCAAAGGAGCCGGGACGAGCTGTCTATGGAAACCTCCCAAGAGGCAAGAGTTTCAATTTTTATTATTATTATTATTTTTGTCTTTCTCTCCATTTCCAAGCTATTTGTTCCACGTGTGGTGGTCCCACGGCGTCCCGCTGCTCCCGCTCGGCCCAGGGCGGTGGGACAGGATTCGGATTTTCCTTTGCAAGGTGCTTTTTTGCTTCCACTATCACACAAACTGTAACAAGCTTTACAAGAAAACACTGGCGAGTCCTGAGGTCTGGCAGCAACCTTCTTCTATGGGCAGGAGGCTCTCCCTTCCCCTCCTCCTCCATCATACATGTCCTTCAGCATCTTCATCTTCAGCACCAGTTTTTGACCCCTTTTCACAAGCTGCTCTCTCTGTTGCTTTTTCGACCCGGGTTTTGCTAGCTGCTTCCTACAGGACAGCAAATACAGCACATGGTTGGGAACAGGAGAAGGAGCGAGCAGTTACAGTGATGCTGCGGATGGGTGCAGGAAAGCCTGGTAGGGCAGGCAAATCACAGAATCAGAAAGGTTGAAAAAGACCTTTAAGATCATCAAGTCCAACCTTTACCCCAGCACTGCCAAGGCCACCACTAAACCAAAATTCCTATCCTGGGAATTCCTCCCCATGTGATATCCCCCCCTGCCTATAGACTACTGCAGTTCACACTGGAGGCTCCTGTTTCCTTGGCTCAGCAGCTGGCCAAGGTTACACCTCATCAGCTCAGCAAGTCTTTGGGGAAGGGATGGGATCCCCTGGGAATGATGTGACCCACCTCAATCAGGCTGAGAGCTGGGCTTGTTCAGCCTAGAGAACAGAAGGCTATGGTGAGACCTTAGAGCAGCTCCAGTGCCTAAAGGGGCTCCAGGAAACCTGGAGAGGGGCTTTGGACAAGGGCCTGTAGGGACAGGACAAGGGAGAATGGCTTTAACCTGCCAGAGGGGAGACTGAGATGAGCTCTGAGGCAGAAGCTCTTCCCTGTGAGGGTGCTGAGGTGCTGGCACAGGGTGCCCAGAGAAGCTGTGGCTGCCCCATCCCTAGCAGTGTTCAAGGCCAGGTTGGACACAGGGGCTTGGAGCAACCTGCTCTAGTGGAAGATGTCCCTGCCCGTAGCAGGGCATTGGAACCGCAGGATCTTAAGGTCCCTTCCAAACCAAACCATTCTGATGCTATGATGGGAGCAAAGCACTGACATGAAGCAAGCCTGGACAGGGGAACAGGGCAGAGGGACAAGAAGATAAGGCGGCAGCATCGGAGTGGGGATATATGGGACTGAGCTGTAGGTAACAGCCCATACACTGGCTGTGAGGGCAGGAGAGGAGCACTAGGGCACGGTACAGCCCCACGCGTGCTCCAGCCATCACTCTCCCTGGTGGGAGCTGGTTATCCCAGCACACTGCTTCCTGGTCACTTATTCCACAGCCTCAACCTCCAGGCACCAGTTCAGAAGAGATTAAACCATAAATGACCCACACAGATGGCTTGCAAAGCCATGTCCTCTCTTGTTACAGTACACCAGGTTTTGTTCAGAGGAATGTTGGATGAGAGCCTGTTATGAGACAGTGATCTCTCCACACGAGCACAGGAGCAGGCTATTGCCTTACCAGCTGCAGGAAATCCATACTATCATGTCTCCAAATACCCTTGGACTTGCCAGAGACAGAATGACATTTCATTTTACCAGTGACCAAGAGGTCATGAACACTCACTGGCTGGGAACAGCAAAGTCAAGTCCAAATGCCAACCCTGTTATCAGCCCTGGGGAGCTCACACCACAAATACTTCTACTGATGACTGAGAATCTGATGGAAGCCTTTGCCTAAGAGAGACTCAGAAATAAACCACTTCTTCCCATTGCAGCAGGCTCTATCCCTCCATCCTCAACCTGATCTGTAATTCAGTTGGGTTTAACCCATCTCTTTGCATTACAAACCTGCTGAGCATCCTGCTAGATGGCCAAAAACAGCAACACGCACCTTCGCATCTCTCTCTGCAAACTTTGTGAACATGTTGGCATAGATCCTCCGGTCCCGCTCGTTGTGTTCCTTTGTTTTCTTCTGGCACACGGAGATCTGGGATTTCGCAGCTTTGTTCTGTGGATTCACTTCCAGCACTTTTTGAAAGTCACATTTTGCCAGCTCAAACTCGTTCATCAATAACCTGGCTTCGCCCCTTCGGTACAAACCCTTCTCGTTGTCCTGGTCCAGTCCTAGTGCCTGCAAACACACAGGTCCCCATTAGCCAATTGGGGCCCTCCCAAAAGATCCCCTTAGGGTCAGAACCTCATTAAATGTTCAGAAATTAGGACAAGGTGGCTTCAAGTCTCCAGAGCACTTGCATCTTGCTCAAGAAGAACTGACTCATCTCCAGCAGCAGCTGGCAGGTTGATAACATGGTTTACTTATTTCTCTTGGCTTAAAATCCCCCCGAGAGTAACTGAGTCGATGGGAGACAAACCCACAGGCAAGGTTAGCATTTATGCCTGATTTCTAATCAGGCGTAAATGCTAAACATGAGCCCAGAGGAGCACGGGGAACTCAGAGGCGACGGAATCGATGGATTGAATGTGTTTGTGTGTCCCTGCTTTAGCAATAACATTATTTTCCTTTAGTAAAAGCCACACATTCATGTCAGAGATGATTTACCTTTTAGATCAAGGCAACTAGCCTTAATCCCTTGTGCAAGATGCCCAAATCTAAGCCTTTTATAAAACAATTAAGTTTCCTGACAAAGAGGAGGTTGCAGCTCTTAAGGGGACTGGCAAAACCCCATCCCACCCCTCAATAGAGATCAGCTGCATCTCTAGTAGACTGTCCCAGCCGTACCCAGATCAGCACCAAATGCCCATATCCAGCCCAGGCAGACCCAAACAGCATCTTAAGGCTGCCAGCCCATGCAGCATCCACTCCTGTGGATCTGGACTGTCCTAAAATCATGCCCAGGTGGATTCTGAACCCCAAACGGCACTTTTGCTGAAGCACACAGCATTCAGAGACCTCAAGGTGCAGAAGAGATGGTGCCACCACCACACTGCCATTTGGAAATGGCTTCTTGTACAAAACAAAACTCAAAACCCCCAAATTCCCAATGAAAATATGCACGAGGAGAGAACGTTCCTGTCTTGTGCACCTCTACCTTATCACAGCACTCCACAGCTTTGGTGTACTCTCGCAGCTTCAGGTAGCACATGGCCAGGTTGAGGAAGGCAGCCAGGAGGAAGGAGTCGGACGCTTTCGACTCTTTTTCAGACAAGCCATACTCCATTTCCAGCCAGGACACGATCTTCCCATACTGAATCACTGCCTGCAGGTATTTGCCTTCCTGGGATGGATCAAAGAAAAAGAGGCTAAAGGAACCCGTGCCGACAACACTCAGACTGCTCCCGAAACATCCTGCAAACAGGTTACGAGTTCAATGCAAGGTGTCCAACAAATAAATGGAGGAGGGAGGATGCCAAATACCTACAAACCTACCAGGGCTCGGCTGGAGTTGCTGGTGTGCAGCCCCCATGAATCACAGAATCAACCAGGTTGGAAAGGACCTTATAGTCATCCAGTCCAACCGTTCCACACCACTGCCAAGGCCACCACTAACCCCTGGCACTGAGGCCTCGGCTACCCGGGCTTGGAACACTTCCCGGACCAGCCCTCCCCTGGCCAGCCTGTTCCAATGCCTGAGCACCCTCTGGGCAAGGAATTGTTCCTAATTTCCAGTCTAAACCTCCCCTGATACAGCCTGAGGATGCTGCTTCTTGTCCCATCCGTTGTTCCTTGGAGAAGACACTACAAGGATGCTGGAGAGGGACTCTTCATCAGGGACTGTAGTGATAGGACAAGGGGTGATTGGTTAAACTCAAAGAGGGAAGATTTAGGTTTGATATTAGGCAGAAGTTCCTCCCTGTGAGGGTGCTGAGGCGCTGGCACAGGGTGCCCAGAGAAGCTGTGGCTGCCCCATCCCTGGCAGTGTTCAAGGCCAGGTTGGACACAGGGGCTTGGAACAACCTGCTCTAGTGGAAAGTGTCCCTGCCCGGGGCAGGGGTTGGAACTGGAGGAGCTTTAAGGTCCCTTCCAACCCAAACCAATCTGTGATTCTATGCTCCTATGACTCAGCCTCTCCAACACTGCTGACCACTAAGTCATGTATCTGGTGGTCAACCCAAATTTACATCTAGCTCCCTTGCTCCACAATCCCCAACCTTACAAACCTTGAAGTACATCGTGCCTTTCTCCTTGACAACGGCAGCCTGCTCCAGCTTCTCTTTTGTGTCCATCTCCCACGACTCCTTGGCCTGCAAAGGAACACTTGGAGCAATCCCAGTGGCAGGCCACCGCATCCAGCAGGACCACATGGCTTTCCAGGATTGCTTGTAACAAGCAGAGCTCCTCAGGGCAATATTAGAAAGGTAGATCCAGCAGCTCTGGGGATGAGGATACACCCAGAGCATGCACAGGGGTGAAGACTTGAAGACTTTTAGAACAGTGGAATTCCCACCAGGTTTGGGACTTCTCACTGAGCAAAGGTGGTTTGACCACCTGAACCCTACAGGAGGAAAAACCCTGACACTCCAAAAAGGCAGGAGGAGGGTGGAGAGAAACACCCCACAGCAGGGGGATGTGGTGGGTCTCACTCCTGCTCTGACCAGAGTGACGGGTGAGGAAGAGACCCAGCCAGGGATGCGGGACAGCAGCATCTGCCCCATCCCATGGGCATCTCCTGCATCCTGTCCCCAGTCTCCCAATGGGCACAGTGGCTGGG